TTCTCTACTTTCATCTCCAATTCACCTACACATTAAATGGCCTTTATTACGAGCAAATAAAGTGTAATTTATCATTAAAGCATATAAAATGCAAGGCGAATAGTGTGCTAAACCATGAATTATAGCCACACATCATGCGGTTGTAGAATGAGCTCTGAAACTTAAAAAGATTTTAGCAGCAACGCGGTCCGCACACCAAAAAATACGATCGCACTTGAAGCTCGCACTGACAAGGCTGAGAGATCAAAAGAGATGCAAAAGAACAAGTCTGAAGCCTCCTTAAAGTGTAGTCCGCAACCAAATTGTGCGGCCGCAAAAGCTGAAGTGCTGCCGCAGAAGCATATGCGCGGCCGCACAATCCCTCTTAGTGACAAGCAAGAACTACAAACTGAAGCGTAGACCGCAGATGAAATTATGCGGTCGCATAACCTTTCGAAGAGCATTTTTGTCAGCAAATTGTAGAGCACTATAACTAGATGAGAAACACCTTTTTAAGGTAAATTTTGTACTGTAGCAACTACTAGCAGTTATCTTTAGCAATTTTGAGAAATTTGGAGCAATAATTAGGGAAGACCCATTAATTTTACTCTTTAATTCTAGTTTTATGTCTTCAATTACTTCTTTTCATTTATTCATGTCAGTGAATATGAGTAGCTAGATTTTATCTAGGGTTGTGATCCAACCCTAGTATGTAAAACTTATGGGGGTTTAATATTAATGCTTGTTATTAATTGGGTGTATGTTATTTAGCCTTATTTATGTTGTATATCTAGAATTAATGGTTACAAACATTGATTCATGCCTATTTGACTTAGTTCTTACTTGAAAAAGAGGAACTTAGTCTAGGAATACTTGACTAACAATAAAATTGAACTAGTTAAAATTTTGATTTGTTTGATTAAAGGATTTGAACTAAAGATAGGGATAATCCCACTTAGACTCATAATCAGTTGATTTAATTGCTAACCATTTGGTCTTGAGAAAGCCAATTTGGGCATAATCACTCTTTAACTAGGAGGTATTGAGTGGTTGTTTGAGCATTGAGAGTCATAACACACCTCGATCTACCAAACAAGCATAGATTTACTATACTCATTAGTTTTATACCTGGTTGAAGGTTACAATCCTAGGATTTTCCCTATTAGACAAAAATATCAAAAATATTTCAATCATTATTTGCTTACTAGTTAGTTGAATCTCTTAGCAGTTAATTTAGATAACAGTTACCCACCTTTGCTTGAAAGATAAACTTGGTTATTTCAAGTTCTTTTTCTTGAGTATTCACCTTAACGCCAATTTAAACTCCTTGTGGATATGACCCCGACTTGCATTGGGTTTTATAATTGCAACGGCCGTTTCATACTCCTTAATTGGAAGTGAATTGGACGTGACCAGCCGCTTCAAGGAAATTCTGTAAGGCCAATTCTCTATGCACTTATGAAACCGTAGAAACGAACACAACAATGAGAACTAAAGACAGTTAAGGGTTGATTGTGTTACTTATGGTTGTATAAGTATACACCAAAGCTCGATAGTTCAAAAATATCAAATATACCGATTGACCGAGTATCCGGCATAAGTTCACTACGGAAAGTTCAAAGGGAAGCCTACTTATCTAGATGTGATTAATCCTTGCTTGTGAATCACACAGTTTTCATGCATGCTTTTATACATATGGTCATTCCCCATTCATGTGAGGGATTGATGGTAGGCTAGAAACCCATGTTTTAGTCATAGTTTGCACTCTAATCACTGCATTTTACTTGTGGTTGAACTTAATAAATGGTGATTTGCGCTTATTACATATTTTATGCCTTGCAGGAAATGATTCCAAGCTATTAAGGTAATTTGGAGCTAATTTGAACAAGTTGAACCTTTGAAGTCTGAGTAAAAGTCCAAAAAACTAAGTCGGGATCACGTTCGAGGGTCGAGGACTAAGTCTGGATATCAAAAAGTGAGAAGAAAAATTACTCTAAGAAAAATACACTACCACGCCGCGCCATGCATAGCGGGAGCGGGGTACTAGTGCAAAATTCCTGCAAAGTGAAAAAAATAGGCCTCTAGACTTTTCCACTAATGTGGCGCATGGTGTGCCGCCCGGTGCACCGCGGTAGTGTATTTTCTCGCCCATATTTTCCCACTTCGCCTTGGAAAAGGATAGTTTCGTCTGGACTCGTTCCTACATGTATAAATACATCAAAAAATACAAATTTTAGAAGACTTTTGACCTACGGAATATTGGAAGATCATTAGAGACTCAAAGCACAAGGATTCATCATTCTTTCCTCAACTCAACACCCGAGTTTGGATTGAACTCATGTTTTCTTATTATTCAACTTTATTTGTGATGAATTTCTCCATAATTATAGAGTAGTTTCCCTTAGTGTTTAACGGATATGGTGCTTTGATTGATATTTATGAATTTTAACTCTAGTTCTTTGCTTGAATTCGTTTATGGAGTTTTAAATTGTTGCAACTTTATTCACCGGTTTCTTTAATCGAAAGAGGAATATTTTGGTGATTATCTTTGCATTATCTTGTTTGGTTTTATTCAGTGATTCTTTAAGTACTCAATAGAGCTTGTTGAATTGTTGATTAAGTCAAGTTAGGAGAATATTCGAGAGACCTTTTCGTGAAGACTAATCCACTAACGCATGTTTGCATATGTTCACAGTACTTATATTAGTTCACCTCGTAGAGTTAAGATTTAACCGAGAGAGGATTCTTAACTACACATTTGAACTAATCACTGAGTGAATTCATGAGAATCATTAGAATTTTATAGTGATGAACTAGAGTCAGATCCCAAATAGCTATCTTGCACCCATCCGGTCAAGACCCTTATTTCTCCCATTGATATTTCAGTGTTGCTTAACTCTTGTCTTTCTATGATCAACTATTAATTATTTTAGTTTCATAGTTAATTTAGTTATTAATCATTCCAACCAAAGTGTTAATCATCCTGAATATCATTAAGCTAGGAATTACTTGAACATTATTTAAATCTAATCCCTGTGGATACGATAATCATAACTATACTATCTTTGGCTAGCGAGCATAAATTTCATGTTGTGTTTGCACTCATCAAATTTTGGCGTCATTGACAAGGATTGGAAATCAATAGTGTTCAAAATAGTTTTTTGTGCTAATTCAGGAAATAATTTTTCTTTTTTTATTCTTCACGGTTTTCTCTTCCCTGTGCAGGCAACAGGTTAAGCATGTTGGTGTATGACTCGATCTTCTTCAAAAGAAGTAATACCCTACAAACAGGAGTTGGAAAAACACCTACGACAACTGAGAAAAGAGAAAGAACCCACCAGGAAATTCTTAGGGCAATCTTCAACCCAAGAGAACATGGCTAAGAACAGTGAGGAGATAGTTTATTTGGTTGTACGAGAAGCAGCCCAACAGGAAGTAGTCGTACGGGCAGCTGCTGAAGTAGCTTTCAGAGCTGATGAAATGGTTGACGGGAATGAAGGATGAAGATTCAACTTGAACCGACCTATGGGTGAAGACGAATTTGAAAATAATATGCTTAGGCCGGGACGATCACTAGGAGACTATGCCAGTCCAGTCTACAACCAAGGAGTATCTAGTGTGCGACCCCCTCCGATCGCAACCAATAATTTTGAGATCAAGCAAGGGCTACTTCATACCATTCATAACAATTGTGTATTCCGTGGAAAACCCAATGAAGATCCAAATACTCATTTGATGGATTTTGATGAGATTACGAATACATTCCAGCAAATCGAAGTATCGAAAGATGCTATCTACTCAAGGACGTTTCCTTTTTCACTGAGGGAAGACGATAAGCACTGGTTGCGGAGTTTGCGGTCTAGCTAAATTCAAACTTGGGAAGACATGACAAAGAAGTTCCATGAAAAATATTTTTCAGCTGCAAAAAAAGGAAAAATTTGAAGAGACATCCACAATAGACAGAAATGGTATTTGAAGCATGGGAAATATTTAAGGATATCATGCGAAGATATTAGCATCATGGAGTACACTAGTGGATGTAACACCAAGATTTTTGAGATGGTCTGACCACCCTCTGGTAGGGGGACGCTAAACAATGTAGTTGGAGGTCCTCTTATGAAGAAAACTCCTGAGGAGATTGTTGAAATTCTGAATGAATTATCTGAAGATGCAAATCAATGGTCAACAGATGATAACCATAGAAGAAAATCAACTGGGGTGCACCAGGTAGACTCTAACACATCAGTACAAGCCCAATTAGACACCATGACCACAAAAATAAGAAAGTTAATATTGGCCAAGGTATAGAGTGAGCCGCAAGCAGCATATGACTTTTGTGGAATAGGACACCCTACATATGAGTGTCAAGATTCAATTGAAGTAGTAAATGTTGTGGGGATCTTTGACAGAGGCAACTACTAAAGTGGTAATAATTTTAACTCTATGGGGTAGAGTCACCCAGGTTTTTCTTGGAGTTCACCATGTGGTAGTGCAAATGCATGGCAGCAAAATAACTCTAGACCCCAGGAATAGGGAGCTCCAGGTTTTCAAAATCAGTAGAGGTAGCAATATCATCCTCCACAGTCTATTCAGTCTAGCATGAAAGATCTGATGAAGGCCTTTATTATTAAGACAGATGAAAGGCTTGCAACTCATGGCGCAACTATCAGAGAACAGGGCACGACCATTCGAAACTTGGAAAGACAGGTGGGGAAACTCGCTAATCTAGTGTCTGAGAGGGTTCCTAAAACTCTCCCTGCTGATGCTGAAGAAATTCAAAAGAGACAATAAATGCAGTGTCTTTGAGGAGTGGGCACATATTGGAGGATCCAAGAGCAAACCAAAAGGATGAGATGATTGAAAGACGGGTGGAGATTGTGGAGGAGCAAAAAATTGACAACATTCAAGAAGGTGCTAGGATGGTAGATGATGGTCTGAAGAAGACGGGGAAGTCTAGAGCTCAGAAGAAGAAGAAGTAAGATATAATTTCAATTAACGAGGAGACTGAGGAGAGCAAATACATGCCCGATTTACCTTTCCCCCAAAAGCAAAGAAGAGAAAAGTTGTACAAACAATTCAGGCGGTTTCTAAAAGTGCTCAAGCAGGTGCATGTGAATATACCTTTCACAGAGGTGCTCTCACAGATGCCAGCTTATGCTTTATTTTTTAAGGAAATATTGTCCAAAAATCGAAAAGTGGAAGAAACATCCGTTGTCAAGCTCACAGAGCATTATAATGCCATTTTGCAAAATAAGCTCCCTCAAAAGTGTGGATATCCATGGAGTTTTACTATACCTTGCTCTTTAGGAAGTACTAAGTTTGAACAATCTTTGTATGATTCAGGTACTTCCATTAACCTCATGCATTTGTCTATTTGCATGAAATTAGAGGGAGAAATTGGAGAAATCAGGTCGACACTTATGTCCTTGCAGCTGGCGAATCAGATCACAATCATACCTGAAGGAATAGTGGAAGATGTGCTAGTTCGGGTGGACAAATTTGTGTTCCCTTTGGACTTCATTGTGGTGAAAATGGAGAATAAGGAGGTCCCTCCGATTTTAGGAAGACCCTTCTTGGCTACGAGCAGAGCAATTTTGGACATTCAAGAAAGGCAGTTCACGCTTATAGTGGGGGAAGAAAGGGTGGTCTTCAAGATGGAAGGAGCAATGGGGGCCCTAAATGAGAAAACTGGAGAGAGTATAACAAATAAGTGTGGGGTGTACCCAAAGAAGGCTGAAAAGAAGCTCTTAGCATGGATGTGTGCACTGGGTCGGGCGTGCAAATGAGATCCCGACTACGATTCAGACCCCGACTAGATGAATCATGGGAGTTTCATTTACCTCTTGCTTTTTATTTGTGTGTCATGGTGACATGCCATAATTTAAAGTATGGGTGGGGGATGTAAATATGTACATGTGTGTTTGTTTGCATTTTTTTTATTTAAAAAAATTGACTTTTCCCGACGATGGATTTCCTCGACTGTCTTCTTGAGGTATCAAAGTCTAAGACAAAAAAAATTATTTTTTTAGGTAGTGTAACAATGCCCCCTTGGTTTTTTATTGTGTCGCGGTTCTTTTCCAAGGGTTTTGTTTGAACCGGGTATAGTTAGTTTTTCTTTTGTTAGGAATAGGAAAGTCTTGTGCTCTACTGTAAAATGGAGATAACTGCTCTTGACTTGGTTGTTCCTTGAGAGTAGTAAGTGCCTTAGTTGTGATACCTAGGCTCAGTTCTTGACTCATAGATTTCTGCCTTAAATTGGTTGATTGTGACTTTGCTCATCTTCTTTGACTAGAGAGTCAGGATAGATCCGATCCTGAGTGAGTTATGTGCCAATGTGTGTGTGAGGTTGTTGTTGCTATTCTGTGCATGTTAGTTGATGTCTAGAACTTGCCCGTGTGTTTGTAAAGTGAAATGGCAATTTTGTTCAGTCTAGGATGTGATAGAGTCATTTCTTTGTTGAGCAAGATATATGATTTTACCCACCTAATTAGTGTGTATCCTAGTTAGCCCATTTGAGCCTGTAATCCTACTTCTCTGGTAATCACACTGCAAGCCTGATCCTCGTTTGAATTAATGTAATGACCCGACTTGTCGTTTTAAAAATTTATGTTCCATTCGGTGGCTTAAGGTCTCAAGCAGCTTTGAAATGTGTATTATGACTTGCGAGGGTGGTCAAGTTTGGTTTTCGGATGATTCGGGATTTAATTGAAAGAACAATTCTTGTATTGGAAGCTTAAGTTGAAATAATTGACAGAATGGTGAATTATGTGTAAACGACCCCGGAATGGAGTTTTGATGATTCCAATAGCTGCATATGGTGATTTTGGACTTAGGAGCACGTCCGAAAAAAATTTTGGAAGTCCGTAGTGAAATTTTGCTTGAAATGGCAAAAGTTAAATTTTTGGAAAGTTTGACCGGGGAGTTGACTTTTTGATATCGGAATCAGAATCCAGTTCTGAAAATTTTTATAGATATTTTATGTCATTTATGACTTGTATGCAAAATTTGAGGTCAATCGGAATTGAATTGATAGGTTTCGGCATCGAATGTAGAAGTTGGAAATTCTTAAGTTCCTTAAGCTTGAATTGGGGTATGATTCGTGGTTTTAGCATTGTTTTATATGATTTAAGGTTTCAACTAAGTTCGTATGAACTTGTTGGTGTATTGGGTTGAGGTCCCGAGGTCCTCGAGTGAGTTTCGGAGTGGTTTTGGATCAATTTTAACTGCTGATATTTTTTACAGCAATGTGCAAAATTTCTCATGCGCAGAGTTGACTTTGGAAGCTTATATCTCGAAATCTATAAAGAATCTAGAAATTATCAAAACATAAAAGTTGTAGCCATTTGATTCTAGCTTCCATAATAATAAATCATTCATCATACGAACATTTATACAAAAATTACGATCAATTGACTGAAGCTAGTACTGCAGATTTTGGCTACAGCAGTGTGCATCGCCAGAAATTTCTGCTGCACATGGCTGACTTTGGGAGCTTATATCTCGCAATCTATAAGGAGTTGGGAGATGAGAAAAACATGAAAGATGTAGCCCTTTGTATCTAGTTTGCATAAATTTAAATTGTTTGGCAATTGTTGTTGAGTACAAGAATTTATGGTTGATACACTACAGACTGTCGGGGAAGAGTTTTGGAAGAGTTTGATGATTTCAGCATAAGCACGTAATGATCCAAAAGTCCATTTTTAGTTTTAGAGATCGAAATTTTATTTTGAGACTTCCGGAATTTTGATAATGAATTATAGGAGTGATCTGGAAAGTTTGGTCTAATTCCATCAAGTCGCGATTGGGTTTTTAGCGCGAAATATGAGTTAATTATTTAACGAGGAAAATTGGTATCGCATTGAGAAAATGAGCTCCGAATTGAGTTTCGATTGAATGAGTAGGTTTGTATTATTATTTGTGACTCATAGGAACAAGAATCGTCGAATTTCAAGTTCGTATGATAGAGTTAGAGCCTTTTTAGTGAAAACAAAACTGCTGGTGTAAACAGTTTTGGTGCGCACCTTTAGCGACCAGATTTGACACTATTAGCGACGGGATTGAACTTTTAGCAACGAGAATAGTGTTTTTTGGGCAAAAACTTAAGGACCAAAAATGGTCATTTCCTTCATTTCGTTTTGGATTTTTGGAGCACGGTTCTTGGATGATTTTGAGGATTTCTTCAAGACTTCAACTTGGGTAAGTGTCCTATATCGAAAAGTAATTATATTTCATAAATCCATAGTTATATTCATCATTTAATTCGGATTTAAATGGAAGAAATTGGGATTTTTGCAAAATCTTTCAAAAACATAAATTTTAGATTTGGAGGCCGAGTTGTTATCGGAAATTGATAAAATTGATATGGTAGACTCGTAATTGAATGAGTTGTCGGATTTTGTGAGTTTCGTCGGATTCTNAAAACAGAAATTTTAGATTTGGAGGACGAGTTGTTATCGGAATTTGATAAAATTGTCATGGGTGGACTCGCAATTGAATGAGGTATCGGATTTTGTGAGTTTTATCTGATTCCGAGACATTGGACCCACGGACGATTTTTGAGTTAAATTTCGGATTTTGTTGGAAAATTAGTATTTTCATATTGAATTAATTCCTATAATTAGTATTGACTGAATTGAATTAATTTGGATAGATTTGAGCTGTCCGGAGGTCAATTCAAGCAAGAAAGCAATTTTGGAATATCGGCCTAACTTCAAAAAAAAGTAAGTATCTTGCCTAACTTTGAGTGAGGGAATTACCTCTTAGGCATCGAGTCTTATGTGTCATTTGTGAAATGTGAAAAGCCGTGTACGCGAGGTGACGAGTACGTACTCGGGCTTATATGTGCAAATTTTATTGGGTTAAAGTCTTAGGCATTATTGTGTAGTAAATTGGATAATTGTTGGCATTTATTAAATCATCTATTTGCCATGCCTCAATCCTTGTTTGTTGAATTTATTTTTATATGACAATTTGATGTTATTGTTACTTGAATATTTATGTAAATTCCGTGAGTTTGGTGATTTGATATTTCATGGAAATAATTAAATTATGGATTTCCATCTGCAAATAATTAATGAAATAAGTTTAAACTTAGGCGTTATATAATTATCAAGAATTTGGATTAATGAAGATGTTGCCCTATACTGAGTATTTTCCATCTCGGTTGTTATTTTGAGGTGTTATATACGATGTGTGGAGTCTTGGACTATTTGTTGTGAAATTAATTAATTTTGTTATATCTTTCGAATTGGTTGTGGCCATTGGGCAAATTGTGACATGAATTGAATTTGTTATGTTGTCGTGATAATATTCTATGTAAATTGTTGTGTTATTTGAGTTATTATTTTGAGGATATAAGGGTGTTATTTCACTGTTGATATTATGTGGGTATAAGGGTGGCATTTCACTGTTGTTATGTGTGTTGGGATATTATCTGGGCGGAGCGATAAGGGTGGCTATTGATATTGTTAGGGTGGAGGGATAAGGGAGGCTATTATAGGAGTGATAAGGGTGGTTATAGGAGAGATAAGGGTGGCTATTGTCAGGGATGATATGTGATGATGTGGAGTTATTGTGTTGGTAATTTTTATGTGATGATGTGAGGTTATTGCGTTGGTAATTTTTATGTGATGATGTGGGGTTATTGCATTGGTAATTTTCATGCGATGCTATGATTTTCCTTGTGTTTATTTTTATATCTTATGCAATTTGTCTTGTTGTTTTGGTAAACTTGATAATAGTCTGATCTATGTTGAAATTGAGAGCCTGTGGCTATTGGCAAGCGGATTATGTTATATGGGATCGGGTTGCACGCCGCAACAGGTATGATTAATGTTATATGGAATCGGGTTGCACGCCGCAACAGATATAAAATGTGCGCACGAGGTGCCGAGGAAAATAATGATGATATTGGCACGTGAATTGTCCGTGCAGTTGTGATATGAAATGTGGGTACGAAGTGCCGTGGTTAAATGATGATGATATTTGGCACGTGAGTTGTCCATGCGGTTTTGATAGAGAAATTGGCATGAAGTGCAGTGGAAATATGAAAGTGGGCTGAGACCCGTATTTTATGATTTTGAAATGCTGTGTCACAGAGTGACTTTTATTCGAAAGAGATTTATTTAAAAGATATTTATTTGAGGGAATTATATTTGAAAGAGATTTATTTGAAAGTATTATATCCTGAAGATTTCTATTTGAAAAACATATAGGCTAAAGATTTATATTGGAAGGACTTGATTAATTAGTTGTACTTGTATTCATTACTTGTTGCGCAATATTTATGATGTTCTTGTCGCCCTGGTGTGTATATCACTGGTTGATTATTGTTTCCATCATTGTTATTTATTTCCTATTATTTTTGTATACTATATTGCATAGGTTATTAGACTAGTGAGTGTCTCGACTGTACCTCGTCACTATTCCACTGAGGTTAGTCTTGATACTTACTGGGTACCGACTGTGGTATACTCATACTACACTTTTGCACATTTTTGTGCAGAGCCAAGTATTGGAGCTATCAGACTCAAACAGAGTTAAAGTATAATCGCAAGGATTCAAGGTAGAGCTGCTTGGTCGTCGCAGTCCCTTGAAGTCTTTTCATTTTATTGTACTGTTAATTATTAATTAAACAGTATTGACTATTCGATCCTTGAGATCATTTCATGTATTCAGTTATACTTCGTGACTCAGCATTACCAGTCTTTGGAGGTTGTTATATTTGTAATTATTTCCACTGTTGTTTTATATATAAACAAAAATGGCTTGAATTGTTATAAAATCG